ACGAACTGAGTTACTTAAACCGCCACAGCTCAGACTGCAACTGGGAGGCTAATACCTTCAGGTAGATTCAGTCAAGGGTCGTCACTGCTAGAAAGCAGTGTCCAGTGTTCACAAGCAGATGTCCAGATGTGGATGTCGGTTTGCAAGGCTCTGACTTGGTACTTGTAAAATAGTTGAGAAAACGGATGGAGAAATAGCAGCTATGTAACTTAGAGTGTTTCTCAAGAGTCAGCCTGGGCCAATGATTAACGTACTATGACGTACACATAAGAACTGTGTAGGGGTGAGCTGATGAATGTCAGTGGCCTTGTTCACAGAAATAGGGAAGGCAGAAAGGAAGAAGAGTTGTCATGGAGGGAGATGGAAGGTCGACAGATTGGAGCATAAATCAGGAATCAATCATGTGACATTTCAGCCGGCCCTCACTTCACTTTTCCAGACATATCACCTACATTAGCTGTTCCCAAATATTTGTTCATGGTCCAGACACTTTGAAATCAGCCTCACTTGGGGAGTTGTTAAAATAGATCCTATACAACTTATATAGAGGCCATCTAACCCCAAGTGTGATGCGCCTGAGATTCTATAGAAAAAGAATTAATTACCTGAGAAGCCATCACACAGGAAAATGGAACCAACTCACCTGCAGGTACAATAATTTTGAGAGGTTTTATCTTAAAACGTAAAAGTTGAAATCATACGCCCAGGAATGGATTAATAAGGCTTACCGTCTAGTCTTACATCAAACATAAGAAATCATTATTCCTATTTTTGGTTTGCTGAAATCCAAAGTAATAACCCTGACCACTTCCAGGTAAATAAGAGGTTTATTATTTTAATTAAAATGACACTTGTAATAACAGGAATTCTATAGTGACAAGAAGAACCAAGCTGTGGGCTTCCCTGGTGGCACGGTGGTTGGGAGTCCGCCTGCTGATGCAGGAGACACGGGTTCGTGCCCTGGTCCGGGAAGATCCCACATGCCGTGGAGCGGCTGGGCCCGCGCGTCCAGGGTCTGTGCTCCGCAACGGGAGAGGCTACAGCAGTGAGAGGCCCGCGTACCGCAAAAAAAAAAAAAAAAAAAAAAAACAAAGAAGAACCAAGCTGTAGCATGAGGTGGCTTCAGAAAATTATCAACGTTATATTGTGTTAGTCAGAACAGATTAGGTTATGCTTCAGCAAGAAACAACCCCCATAACTGCAGTGACTTAATGACAAAATTTCTCTCTCATGTAAGTTGGTTACAGGTCTATCTATACATTCACATAGATTCCATTTTCTTTATCGTTTACCTGTCCACACTCACTTAGGTTGTTTCCATATCTTGCCTATTGTGCATACTGCTGCAATGGACATGGGAGCACAGATGTCTTTTTGAGATACTGATTTCATTTCCTTGGAAATGCACTCAACAGTGGAATTGCTGGATCATATGGTAGCTCTATTTTTAGTTTTTGGGGGAACCTCCATACTGTTTTTCATAGCGGCCACACCAATTTACATTTCTACCAACAGTGCATGAGCGTTCCCTTTTCTCCACACCGTCACCAACATTTATGTCTTATCTTTTTTTTTTTTTTTTTTTTTTTTGCGGTACGTGGGCCTCTGACTGTTGTGGCCTCTCCCGTTGCGGAGCACAGGCTCCGGATGCGCAGGCTCAGCGGCCGTGGCTCACGGGCCCAGCCGCTCCGCGGCATGCGGGATCTTCCCGGACCGGGGCACGAACCCGCGTCCCCTGCATTGGCAGGCGGACTCTCAACCACTGCGCCACCAGGGAAGCCCTATGTCTTATCTTTTTGACAATAGCCATTTAACAGGTGTGAAGCGACATCTCATTGTGGTGTTGATTAGCGTTCCCTGATGATTAGTCATGTTGAGCATCTTTTCATGCACCTGTTGGCCATCAGTATGTCTTCCTTGGAAAAATGTCTCTTCAGGTCCTTTGTCCATAAAGTGGCCCAGCCTTATAAATGCTGCTCAGTTCAGGTCTGTGATGCATGTGTTCCTCCAGTTGCCAGCATGAAAGGATGTAAAGTCAGCCATTGGCTAGACCTGGGAAGCAGGGGAATTCCGGAATTGGCTCTTACCACTTGCTAAACTTCTTGACATGAAGACCAGACATAGCGCATCTGGGAGGACAATATGCCGCTGCTCCTTTTCTTCCATTACACGCTTCCTTGCGGCCCATGTTGAGCAGCCAGCCTTCTCCCCTAGTTACAAATGCAGAGTAGACGTAATTTCCAAGGTGCTTAGAATGCCGGGCACTAAACTCCTGTGCACGTGTGTGTGTACGAATGTGTGCACCCACACACCAGGTATATTAAACTTACCGTAATGACTCACAGCCCATCACAGGATGGCACTAACCCAAAAAACTAAAGGGACATGGAGATTTCAAATGAGCACGTGTGCACAGCTAATATGCTAAGGCCCATCAGTACACTTTAAAAGGGAGAAATAATAATAATTTCCAATAAATCATAAGATCAAGGTGGTGCTCCTAGCATCCGTGGGAAGATTCATCTGGAACAATACACTGAAATTTGCTGCTCAGACTGATTGCAGCATGGTAGACAAAATCAAAGTAATCAGCTGGTTTCTGGCTAGGGCCTTTACTAAAATCAAACTTAAGCAGCAAAGGAAAGAAGTTGGAGCAAAACAGAAAATTGCAGGCTGTGGAATAAAGGTATTTACTCAGCGACTTCCTCAGATTAAAGGCTTTATAGCTCCAGGGCTCTGAGAGATCCAACCCGTTAGCATCCTAATGGCTCCCAGATGTATAGTTCTGTCCTGGTGTGACGGTTTAATATACTGAACTTAAAGTTGCAGGGGAAAGTACCAAGAGCACTTTTTGTTGATTCGTTCATGAGTTCAGGCATGCAGGAACTCACACTACATCTACAGGCATGACTTAGAAAATCACAGCTGGAGACCTATTTCAGAACTGCCCTGAGCTCAGGAGAATGGCAAACCCTCAAGAATTACCAAAGTGTTGGGTAGAAGACAAGTCACAGTTTCAGAAGAGTTTATGCATGAAAGTTAAAGGTTATAAATACATTCATCAATTATTTCTCCAGTGGCTCTGATAGATATGCCAGGCACTGGACCAGAGGCTGGATGTGGCCAAGATGTTAACAGTCACAAGTATCTACAGGTTCTTCTTCATTTCCCAGCTGCCCTTGCAGTAAGGTGAGGGTCCTGTGGCCAATGGGCAGTGAGCAGAGTGAAGTGTGTGGCTTCCAGGCCAATGGAGTTAGGAGCTAGTGTGTCTGCTTTCTCTTTCCCTGACCCGTGGAGGCCATGTTTCCAGAAGGTGTAACTATGATATGGAGAAGGGTCCCTAACATTCCTGTGCTAAGACCCTGCGATTTGGAAGTTATTGCAACAGCTAGTGTTAGTGATCTTGGCTGGGGACTCAGGACAGAACAAGCCAGACCTGGTCTTTGCCTTTATGCACGCTACACTCTAGCGGGAATGGTGCTCTAAGTTTTTGCAACTGCCTTTAGAATTCAGACCTCAGATTGTGCCAAAATTATTAAACTGCGTTTTAAGTGCAGGGTATGATCCTGAAAACAAATTATGCCTGATTACATTGGCATTTAAGAGTTTAATTCCACTAGTACAATCATGCAATAAATTTTTTTTGAACTCTTACAATGTACTAGTTATTGTTCTAGAGGATACAGCAATGGGCAAACCAATGTGTCATGTTTATAAAAGACTTATAGCCCAGTGAGAGAGACAGACATAAACAAATTAGCAAATATATATATTACAATTAACAAATAAAATACATAATGTAAATATAGATATACAGTATAATGTCAAGTAGTGATTAGTGCCATGAAGACAAACAGAGCAGCTCAAAGACATTGTGTCATAATTAGGAGGGCTGATATTTCAGATGGGGTGGCCAAGGAAAGCATTCTCTGTGGAGGCCCATTTGAGACATGACTTCAATACATTGTAGGGCCATCCATGAGGACACCCAGGGGGAGAATATTCTAGGGAAAGGGGCCAAAAAGGGCGAGTACCAAAGCCATTCTGGCAGGTCAGGCTCTGTGCCCAAACTCTGGGAAATGGCAGATCCACCAATTGCAAGGAAAACTTGTGGTCAGGCTTAAGTGGGCCAACTCACATTTCTGGAAAATACATTAGGCTCCCAAATCTATATTCCCAATGATTTGACCGACCTTATACTTTGGATTTAAGCTGTGTCCATGCATTTTTGAGCAAATAGAACTTATTAAAGTCACATTTTGCATTGTTCATGTTAATATCCATGTGGATTTCCAGTGATGTCACCTACTTTTTGATGCCCCAGCTCCAGATTTCTGCAGCCATAAATTGCTTTCCCTGCCTAATCCCTGGGTACCCAAATAGACCCAATGGATCTGTTAAAGCACAGAAAAAATACTGTAAAATTTTATTAATATTTTTATCTCCTCCTTAAAATGTCTGTTTGTATTTGTTTCATTAAGGCAAATAACGCATCAGGGCAGTCATACATGTATATAATTTATAAATAAATGAAGAAACATGCTTTGGAGGTACTACTTTTTCATTTTACTAATAGAGATGCATCAGCCCATTAGGCTTATTCAAGCCTTTGTCACATATGTTGTTGTGAGTCATGGCTGCCCACAGTTTGGGAGAACAGCTCCAACTTGCCTAGCTGACCAGATGACCAATACAATTAGATATTACGACAAAAAATCTGAACAAGGATCTTGATGGGTGCCGATTTAGCATTTTGAAGCTTTATTTTTGAGGTACGCGGGCCTCTCACTGTTGTGGCCTCTTCCGTTGCAGAGCACAGGCTCCGGACGCGCAGGCTCAGCGGCCATGGCTCACGGGCCCAGCCGCTCCGCGGCATGTGGGATCTTCCCGGACCGGGGCACGAACCTGCGTCCCCTGCATCGGCAGGCGGACTCTCAACCACTGCGCCACCAGGGAAGCCCTGAAGATGTTCTTTACATGCAAAAATATTGGATTTCCCAGAGTCATTCCTTATCAATGAGGCTATAACAATAATCCGAAGGCGGTCTCCAATCTGTGATTAGAAGAAACATACGTGGTGCAAACTGCAAGAGGATAAGTGAACGACAAACACAGACCTTACAACTTCTCCAGGCACCAGGGTCAAAGCCAAAATATGACGTGGCCATAGTGTGCATAATATATACCTTGTAACATACAAACAGAGAAGGAGGAACGCTGCTGGTGTTCCAGGGCAGAACTGGGCAAGTCGCTTAAATTATCTGAGTTTCGGTTGCTCATCTGCAGAGCGAGATGATAACAGGCAGTGATTGTTCCACAGGGCTGTTGTGAGGCTGCCAGAGGCAATATCCACGAAGACTGTGACCTGAACATTGTATGGGAGGAAAATTGCCACTGCATTCATTAAGGCGTTTCTATACGCTTGGGCTGTACACCGGCATCTCATTCAGAGCTCCCCCAAAAAATCCAAAGTAGACACGATCGCTATTTCATTGCTGGGCTCACAGAGATTAAGTAATTTTCATAAGGTCCCGCAGTTAGTAAACAGTTGACTAGAATTGAGCCCTGTACCATCTGACTCCACATGGAAGCCTTTCCACTCCATCAGGCAGACGTCCAAGAGGTAGGGCATTTGGAAGAAAGCCATAGTGGTAAAAGAGATGTCCTTGGGGCAATCTCGTTTTTCAAAGACCCTGCAAGAAACTGTCACCTATGTGAATACAGCATCCTTCTGTTTGGTTGTTAAGTTATAAAGAACCGAAGATGTATTTTTTGTCATAGAAGCCACCCATTCTTGTTGTGAAAACAGCAACACACAGGAATACGCAGAAAGAGGAAGTAAAATTCACCCCAGCTGGTAAGTGTGCATCATTCCAGGGTGATACTCCGGAGTTTGCCTCCTTCCAGAGCCCTCTATGCATATTCTTTAGTTGCTACATAGGTAGGTTCTTACCCTCTACAGTGTATCGCGAATGGCATTATTCTCTTATTTCCTCATGTTCAAACCAAACCGAAAGACCAAGAGGGAAGAGAAGGGGAATCGATATTTACTGAGTGTCCACGACATACCAGCCCTTTACATATATTCACTGATTTCTACCCTAAAAGTCACCCTACGACCCTGGAACCAAAATCCCCATTTACGGATAAGGACAGTGAAGCCATGAGGGGTTAAGTAACTTGTCCACAGTGAACTGAAGCCAACTCTGACTGTCCCCAAATCCCACCTTCTTGCCAAAGTCCACACTGACCCAAGCAGTGTCAGGACCACGATTTTTCCAGAGCTCTGCGTACAAGAAAGGGGAGCCCCAAGTCCCATGTGGGGATGGGGATAACACGTCTGCGTGTGTGTGCGCGTGTGTGTGTGCGTGCGTGTGTGCACGCGTGCATGCGCAAAGAGTTTGCCTTCGACCCCTTGAACGGTGCCAGCTTCCCTGATAGGCCTGAAGCTCCGGCCCACGGGAGGAGGCCACGCTGCCCTGAGTCCCTTCCCCTCAGTTTCCAGCGCCTGAAGCTGAGTCACTTACACAGCCTCCCCCACCTGCTTCCCCTTTACCCCCTGGAGGCCAGAGGTGGAGGACGAGGGCAGAGGAAGGCCTAGAAAACACACGTCCTCACTGTTTGCTCTGTGCAGACCCTCTTCCCAGGAGGCAGTGTTGACCTAGCTGTGTTTACCTTACTTGCCCAACACTCTGTAAGGTGGATGGTTGAATACGAGGCCCCAAAGCCTGTGTAAGGAGAATGGAAATCATTGATTATGCCTAAATTCTGGGGGCAACTGTGTTTTTGTTCCCAGTCATGTCACTGAATTATTTCATTTCTAGTTGCCTGCTGTTAAAATCACCATAGCACAGCTCCAAGGATGAAAAAAAAAAGGGAAATCATATTTATTGAACCAGACTTTTCATGATTGGTATCGCAGGTAATCAATCCTCCCTGGAACCCCGTGGTGGGGAAATAATCATCCCCATTCCACAGAGTAGATGAAACCAGTAAGTGGATCCAGGTTCTCAGCTCCTAAAGGCAAGTCTGGGATTTGAACTGCTTCTCTGCTCCAAACCTGGAAGCCTTTTGGACATCAGGAAGGGGAAGGTGGAGGGGAGAGAGGGCAGTTCCCTATAAAGTTCCACGTGGAAGATCCTATCACTAGCCGTTCCACCCAAGAGAAATGAAAACATGTTCACACAAAGACGTGCACGTGGATCCACACAGGCGCCTGATTCCTAACAGGCAACATCAGAAACAACCCAGACGCCTCTCAACAGATACACTGATTGTGGTCCATCCCTACGATGGAATTGTACTCAGCAAGAAACACGAGCAAATTGCTGATAGAAACAACGACTTGGATGAATTTCAAAAACATGCTGCTGAACAGAAGACACAAAAAATGTACAGAACGTAGTCTTCCATTTACATGCCCTTCTAGAAGATGCTAGACTAATCTATGGAGACCAACACCCAAACGGAAGGTACCTTCAGGGGGAGATTGGGAGGTAAATGGAAAGGAACTTCCTGGACAGAGGGATTTGTGCCTTAATGTTGATCCGAGTGGTGGTTACACAGAAGTACACAATTGTCAACACGTATTGTGCTGTACGTTCAGGATTTATGGTTTTACTGCATGTAAGTAACACCTTGGTGAAAATAAATACATAAAAAGTAAGGGAAGAGAGCACGGCACGTATCAAGGTGGTAGCAATTGAGAAGAGGTTCAAGAAAGAGGTTTTATGGATTCAGTCTATTTATGCTCCAAGCCGCACCTGCGGAGTGGATATAACAAGATCTTTACTGCAGAGCTGATGGGAAGATGAGAGTCTGTGTACACAGTGCATGGTACCCAGTAGCCAAGCAGTGAATGGGGAGCTTTTGCTGGGATTATGCTGTGAGCAGCTGGGGCAGGGAATGGCAGGGTCAGCTCCTGGGCAGGTGGGGCCAAGAAGAGAGGCCCCCGCACATGCCAGGCTGAGCCTCAGGGAAAGCGGAAGGAGGGGACAGCGGGCATGACGCAATCCCCTTCCCTGGGTGGCATTTCACCATTACAGCTCAGCCTCCGCTCTGCTGACCTCCCGTGAACCATTCCCCTTTTCTCGTGGGGCAGAGGAGGAAGCAGATGGGGAAGCCGCTCTGGGTGATGGGGGAGGCCAGGCATGACAAGCAGGACAACCAGGCTCTACGTCCAGGCTGTAAGAGACAACCGGCCACCCCTCTCCCCTCGGCCTTCCCACGGCGGGGGCACGTGGGAGGGTCCTCAGATGATGACTTCCGACTGGCCTCAAATAGACAAAAGAACTGCTTGTTTTTTAATCTAAGAAGTTGCATGCCCCATGCAAATTTTTAGCATCCTGAAGGTTTTCACATTTTCACCCCAACAAGGCACCTTAACCATCTGATGATAAAACAAAAACAAAAACGTTCCATTTCTATTCTCCTTCATTTATTTTAACTCAGTTCATCAAGCACCCTGGGAGCACCCATTTTGTGCTCAGCCCAGAGTCAGAGAGATGGAAAGACCAGGGCCTTGGCCTCAGTTAACCGCAGTCTGGTGGCAGAGCTGAGCCGTGGGGTTTGTGCCTTGCCCTGAAGTCACACAGCCTGGTTCGAATCTCCCCTGCACCACTCCCCAGCTCTGTGACCTGGGGCTAGCTACTTGACATCTATGAACCTCAGTTTCCCCATCTGTAAAATGGGGGTAACAGAAGTACCCACCTCATTAGGCATATTGTGAGGATAAGAAGAGTTCATCTCTCTGAAATGCTTGGGATGGTGTCTGGCATGCACGACCTGCCCAGTAAGCGTCAGCTATTATGATAAATGTTATAAAGGAGGTGGATGAAGCACTGTGGAAGCAGCAAGAAGGGACACCAGGATATGAAGGTGGGGGATCAGGAAGGCTTATCGATGAGTCTGTCCTGGACCCGGATGCGGAGGAACACACAGTGTCAGCCATGCAAGGAGGCAGAGAAAGGTGTTTCCCTCGCGAGATGGAGAGCAGCCTGGCAAACGCTGGCAGCCTAGGAGGCAGTGCCAGGCCAGTGACAATGTGACAGTGAGATGGAGGTGTGAGCATGACTGGGGTCTCGGTCAGGGATCAGCACGTTTGTTCCGGGAAAGCCGGACAGTAAATATTTTAGGCTTTGAAGGCCGTACAGTTTTTGTCACAACTACTCAACTCTGCCCCGGGAGCATGAAAGCAGTGTTGGACAATGAACGAACGGGCGTGGCTGTGTCCCAGTAACACATAAAATGTGGATGCTGAGAACTGAATTTCATTTCATTTTGTGTGTGTGTTACAGGATATGATGCTTCTTTTGATTTTTTTTCTCAAGCATTGAAACACGTAGAAGCCATTCTTGGCTTGCTGGCCGTACGAAAGCAAGCAGCAGGCCAGACGGGCCTGTGGGCCACTGTTTGCCGACCCCTATGGAGGGGAGGCTGGGATGAGCCCAGGGGGATGAGACGGGCCGGGCGGTGGAAGCGACAGCACCAAGAAGCCAGCGTCGGGGTTCAAGCTGTGGTCCACAGTACCAGGGAAGGGGAGGGGACAGAGGGTGACTAGATGGATGGAGAGTTAGGGTTTGCTGGGTGGGAGCAAAGGAAAAACAAAGGGAGCTGAAGGTTGTATGAGTGTCCTGTTGCTGCTGTAACAAATTACCGCAACTTACTTGCCTAAAACAACACAGATTTATTATGTTACAGTCCTGGAGGTCAGAAATCTAAAATCAAGGTGGAAGCAGAGTTAAATTCCTTCTGGAAGCTCTGGAAGAAAATTCCTTCCCTTGCTTTCTCCAGCTTCTAGAGGCCACCTGCATCTCTGGATCCGAGGCCCCTTCCTCATGACACCCCGACCTGTCTTTCCATTGTCATGTCTGCTTCTCTGACTCCAACCCTTCTGCCCCTCTTTTATAAGAACCCTTGTGATTATATTAGGCTCACCTGGATAATCCAAGGTAATTTCCCATCTCAAGATCCTTAATCTTAGTCACATCTGCAACATCCCTTTTGCCATGTAAGGTGACACATTCACAGGTCCTGGGAATTAGGACATGGGCATCTCTGGGGACACTATTCTATTGAGGACAAAGGTATTGACAGAAATGGGCCAAAGAGATGGACCATGAGGTTTAAGCAGATGACACCACACCATCTCCATGTGTCCACAGTGGCAGTCCATTAGGGTCAGGGACAGAGGGAGAGGGGCAACCAAGAGGGGGCTGTAGACGAAGGTTCATAAAAGAGGCCTCCAACCTGACATCGAAGGTCAAGGTGGGTCATATGTGGGTGGAGAGGAGTGAAGGAGGTCGTGGGAGATGAGAAGGAGAAGAAGGGAGGGGCCAGGGGCTGCGGGTACCATCCACAAGGATGGTGAGTGATGCAGAACAGACCAGGCTGGGCCCAGACGCCCTTCTCCTGTGATGTAGGATGGGCCTGTGGGTGTCAGGGATAAGGCTAGGGCAAGGTGGGACTGTCCAGGGAGGCGGCTACATAATTCCTGGGGGAGTAAAGGTTTGGAGGGAGTGGTGGGGATCTTCTCATGGCAGGTGTGTTGGAGAATAAACAGCCCCTACTGGAGAGGACTTTCGGGGAAGCAACGTCTCTGGGGAAGCTGGGTCTCAGCTATCTGATTAGTACACGGAAGGAGGGGAGACAGTGGGGTGACGTGATGGGGCCCTGAGCCCCAGATCTCAGATGGGGTAGAAAAGAGGAAAAAAAAGAGAGATGCTGTGATATGCCCCTGTTTTCCGGGGCCTGCCAGCCGGCTGTGAATCTGTCTTTGGAGTCTTGGCTACTTCCTTTCATGGGGGTTGGGAGAGACTCTACCTGGGGCATGGGAGGGTTGGCAGAAAGAGAACTGAACAGAAAGTCAGGACATGTGGATTCCAGCAGGGCTTCCAGGGAACCCTGAGGTCCGCCCGTGCATCCCGCCACCTACCCCCAATGTCAACCCTCATCTGTTGCTCCTGCCTCCTGTTTCTCTCTCACACCCATCCCCCATCTCCACCTCTCCCTCACCGGGACATCTGAAAGGGCCTCTGTGGTTCCCAGGGGCTTGGGCCTCCACCAGGCTATGAGTTTCTGAGCAATTGAGACCACATCTTTTCACCTTCACAAACTCTGAGCCAATAGGTGATCAATATGTAATACTTAGTGAGTTACATGAACAAATGAACAGATACAGAGGAGGCAGCGAGGCTGAGGGCTTTCATTGTCAGCATCACGGTAACTGTGCCTCAGTTTCCTCATCTGTACTAAGGGAATGTTAATGGTACCCACCACTCAGGATTAAAACAGAGGCTGGAAGGTAGTAAGTGCTCACAAAGGATCAGCTATGATGTGATGCGGGTAGTGACAGACCACACATTGGAGTTAGTTTGGGGGGTTGTACTGTAACATGAAAGCAGCAAGAGACTCATGAAAACCAAGCAAACAGAAATGTTTAAAGTCAACAGGATAGAAGGCAACAAGGTAAATCGAACCATTGCAACCCAAGGTCTATGTTGGGCAAGTCGGAAGAGCCCTATTGCTCTCTGTTATCTGAGACACCCACTCAGGGTTTATACTTCTGCAAAACAAGTCCCAAAGTCCTTCAAGGTCTCCTGCACATCCGGCCCTCCCTGTGGTGCCCAGAAGGACCTTTGCCACCCCTGCTGTCTTCCTGTCCCAGAGAGGGTCAATGACACCATGTCTTGGGGCAGAAGAAAAAGAAGATGGGTCTGGGACGTGGTGTCACTGCTAGAAAACAAGTGTGTGCTTTCTGAGATATCAGCAAGGGCTGCTGAAAAGAGAAAAGAGATAAATTAAAGGGACTCCTAGCGGCCAAAATGTGACCACTTGACTGTCCAAAAGGAAATACTAATTATCGTTAAACAGCATGGGTTGAGCCTCCTAAAAGCTTAAAGTCCATAAAGGCCTTAATAGTCCGTACATTCAAAAGGGTAAAGTTGAAATAAAGTGTAGAAAAAAATAGTGAGAATAAAAACATTACTTTTACTAATTTTAACAAGTAGGGGAGGAGGTAATAGCTGGGTGTTTTATTCCTTCTAGTAACCTTATTGTCATTTACAGTGCGTGGAGTTGCCTTCTTTTTCTCCAGGTAAGGATGAAGAGTGAAACAAGAAGCTGTGAGTAAGTCAAATAGTTCCAGAAAAAGCAAGAATTGAACCGTGCACAGGAAGCAGCCCTAGAGGTTGTGCACAGGAAGCAGGAAAAAGCGTCCACCAGGGTGTTGCAAGTTGCAAGATGCTAGGAGGAGACAAACTAATGATGCAAACTCAGTCGATTTCCTGGACTCAAAAACCTGGACCATGCAGCTAACCTTACTAATTTAACCAAGTTATGAGAAGACAGACACAGTGCCAGTTATGCTAACAGAGCAGGCCTGATGTCAAACACCTCACCTAGCATCCTACATTTAAGCCTCACAACAACTATATGAAAAAAGAGGCTCTTAGTGTGCCCATTTTACAGAGGAGGAAACTGAGGCTGGGAGAGCTGAAACGAGGTCCTCCCCTGAATCCACGTCCCCCCACCCCAGCTCCAACCACTCCTCATCCAGCTCGGCCTGCTGCCCGTCACAGGTGCTCAGAAAGACACTAACCACACCTGGCTCTGTGCCCTCAGGAAGCAAAATGAGCCCAGCCCCCAGGAGAGGGGACTGGTAGCATTTGGGGATAAGCAGAAGCTTGGATCTGATGAGGTGTCCCTGGACAAATGTGCTGCTGTCCAAGTCTTTCTCCTGCTCAGCCCCTGGGACCCATCTGAAAGGTTTCCCAGGCTCAGGACATCGAAGCTCAGAAGTAGCTGGCATTGACTTAGGGTCCGTCTGTGCCTGAGGCCACCCTCAGTCTTATGTACTATCATCTCACTGGCTCTTCACAATCCTGACAGAAGTGACCATTCTTACCGTCCATCTCACAGATGAGGAGATGGAGGCAGAGAGAGGTGAAATGGCTAAGATCTCCCAGAGAGAATGGTGGAGTGGAGGGTCGAACCCAGATGCTCAGACCCTGAGCCCATGCCTGAACCACTGAGCCACACTGCCCCCTGAAGAAGGGAGCTGGTGCCTGGAGGGGGGCTCCCATAGTAAGTATGGGGGGATCTGACTGTGGACATACATGTGACATGTCAGTGTGTGTGCCTGGGGCAGTCAGTACAGGCTGTTTTCCGCACTTCCTGGGGAACTCTACCAACAGGTGTAACATCCCTGAAGTTCACTATCGCTCTCTGGACCAGTCAGGGCCTCTGGTCCTTGATCTGCTTTGCCCCGGGCCCCTCGCACACCCTTCCCTTTCATTCCCTTCTTGCTGCAGACCCCACACCTCAGCTCTCGTGCGTCTCTCCATCCCTCTCTCATCTCTCGGCAGGCCAATGCAGGGATAGGGTCTTCCCAGACACCCCTTTTTCACAGCCAGCCCACAGCATCTTCCTAGGATATATTTAGTCCCAGGGATCAGTCCAGATGTTACAATGGACAATTCCAGAAGTAACCAAGTGGACAGGACTTCCTCCACCTTGGCTTGTGGTTCGGGTCCTGGAGAATGGCCACTGGGTGCCCCCCACCCTGGGCATTCTGTCCTTGCCCATTTTTCCAGATCATCCCACCCCTCCTTCCCAGGATGCCGGTCTAGAGGAGCTCTCCGCAGCATGAAATACTAGGGGGGAGGGGAGTGGGAGGATGGGGAGACAAGAAGGACTGAGTGTGGAGTCCTTGCCTCAGAAGGGATAGGTCCCAACCCCGAGCCCCACTTTCTCCCAATCTCCACCCCACTGCTCTTTCTTCACTCTACCTCCAAGTGCCCAGTCCCCCCGACGTCCTGCACCTTTTCGTCCCACAGCCAGGGTCTGTGACGCACACCTCCCCCATACACACGGTCCTGTCTCAGCCTCTGCGGGGCTCTTCTTGTGCATTTCAGAGGTGGCTCAGGTCTCGTCCCTCTACAGGTGGCCCTGCCAGGACCCTGATGCCAGGCTCTGGGCCAAAGGATGACATCTGTCATCTCCGTTAATCTTTTCTGGCAGGTGCTACCAGCCTGCCTACAGAGGCTCAAAGAAACTGGGTGATCCTAGGTCACACAGCCAGACGCAGCAGGCACAGCAGGTGACACACAGGACTGCCTGGGCCGTGAAGGGCAGTCTGTCATCTGCCCGGCTCCTGGCAGTTTTGTGCAAGGCAGCTTCCTGCCCCAGGTCCCCGCCCCTCCCGGACCTGCTGCCTGGGCCACCGAGAGCTTTCTTCCTCCTGTGCTGGCAGAGCCCGGGCGCTGCACTCGGGGACACACAGCCTGCACGCTGCAGCCAGGAGCCCCAGGGGAAGGAGGAGTTCCTTCCGCTGCAGGAACTGGGAATTGAAGGTAGGGGGGTTGGAGAGGGGGCGGCACCTTCCCACCAGCCCCAAGCCACCGGGCTGAAAGGGTTGTCGCACCTGGCGACAGCCTGGGTGCTTGCCTTCGCCCATTCAGTGCGAGAGCCGGGAGGGGCAGCCGGGCGTGGCAGGAGGCCATTGCACAGATGGGGAAACTGAGGCATGGAGAGGGGAAGAAATGCCCAGAAGGTATGGAGGGTAGGCCTCACCTCACCACACCCTAGGTCTCCAAGCTGTGGGCAGACGTAGTGCCCTGGGGGAGATGGCCTTTCAGCCAGCTCAGGGGAAAGAATCAGAGTTCTGAAGCCAGACTGTGGAACCGGGGAGTGAGGAGGTATGGGAGCGGGAAGTCCACCCCTTCCTGAGCTAATTTCTGCTTCTATATGAGGGGTGGTACATACTCCCCTCACAGGGGGTACTGACAGTACTGAATGAAGGAGTCCTGGGAGGAAGCTCCTGGATAGCTCCGCCCCAGCCGCCCACCCAGAATGACACCCGCGAGACCCACTGTCATGGGGATGACAACATCACGGGGGGCTCACCGTGCGCCCCCAACACTGGGCCCTGAGCTTACCTGAAACTGCTGCATTTAGTCTTTGCAGCAGCCCAGCGAGGTAGGAACTGTCACCATCCCCATTTTACAGATGGGGAAACTGAGGCACGGGGAGGTTAAACAGCTTGCCTGAGATCACACAGCCAATGAATGGGGGCCCTGGGTTCCCTGGTCTGACCCTGTGAGCTAGAGGAGCCTACAGGCTATTCACCTGGCGGAGTCCCACAGCTGGGGCCGGGGGAATGAGAGAAGGACAAAGACGTGCTTGTCCACTGACTCAACAAATAAGTATCCACTGCGTGCCAAGGGGGCGTGGGGCGGTGCACACAGTGTGAGGCCAACCGCCTTGGGTTTTTAAATGGATCAGGGTCAAGTAGGGCCCCACTGGCCTCAACCCTGCATCAACACCTCCAAGCACCCCCAGTGCCCCCAAAAGCCTGCAGGAGCTCCTGCACGGAGCAACAGTCCCAAGGAAAATTCAAACAGCCTGTGGATCGCATTAGTCTGCCGGGAGCCGCATCCAGTGGAAACAGACGTGGGCCTGAGGCTGGCCAGGAACTGAGCCTCTTCCTGCCCGGAGAAGCCTGGAGAGAAGGTCTGAACAGAGGGCTGTGCAGACCAAAATCAAGAGCCTAGTGTGTGCCCGGCGCTTTACATAAGTGATCTTGTGTATCACTGACAACTGTGCCAGGAAGTGGGACCTCCAAAGCCCTACGCTGCAAACAAAAATACCTCGTGGCTCAGAGAGGTGAAGCAGCTTGCCTGAGGCTGCACAGCTCTTCTTAGATTGACTCTCTGCCTCCTGGCCTCTGCCCACGGCCACCCAGACCAGCCTTAAGCGGCTGTGTCAACAGCGGTGAAGCCCCATTTTCTTTCCAGGGAAGTCGAGAGAGGTTTTGTATCTGGCTTGGTGACTTTGGGTGGATGAGCAGCCTTTCACCCTGGGCCTCAGTTTCCCCATCTGCCAATTGGACTCATCACCTACCTCACCCCCTGCATCTTCAGCAGTGGGCATTTCAAGGTAGCTCTCTAAATGGTAGCTCTTGCTACCAGTGGGGCAGCCACTGAGAACTCCCCAGTGGGAGCACCGGCCAGCAGAGTCATGCCATCCCGAAGGGCGTGAGTCACATGCCACCCCAGCTTGGAGACAGATGCTGTCGTTTATGAGCTGGGCACAAAGACTCCCTTTGGTATATGGAACAGAGGGCCGCACGCCGCCCAGGAGGAGCACAGACAGGCGGCGTGGGCAGGGGCTCAGTGTCGAGTCAGTGAGCTTAGTCCCTGTTTACTCCTCTGATAACTGGGGTGACCTTGGTTAATATTCACCAGCAGCCTCCCACATCGTCCCTCTGGATCCACTGCTTAAATACAGGCAAGGACAGGGCTCTGTCTCCCCAGCTGTGGTCACCAGCCCCGACCTGGGACAGTGAATCGTAAGTATGCCTTCCACTGGCAAGAGCCTCCAGAGAGGCCTCCGGGTCCCTGCGCGACCCGGGAAAGGCCCTGGGGCTGCAGGGAGGATGGAGAGGGCTGGGGCTTGGCCTCCTGTTGTCATAGTAACAGCAGCCCTGGGGGTCCTTTCCTGCTCCCCAAGCCTGTCCAGGGCCTCCCCAATACCTCTCGGTGATTAAACTGGCCCTCTGTGGGCAGAAGTGGAAACGGGGGGCTGGCTCTGGCGTCCCGGGACCGAGGAAGGAGTACGTTTCTGCTGCACAGCTTCTGTGTCTTTCCCGTAGGTTGTCTTCTGTAGGTCTCAGCACCTCCCCTACTCCTCGGGTGTGTATCTTTTTCCGCTTCTACAGATGAGAAAAATAAGGCTCAGAGGGAGACAGTGAGAAGCCCAGGCTCACGCAGGGACCTGGTAGGGGGGCCAAGCCAGACCAGAAGCCCAGAGTTTCAGCTGCTCCTCAGGCCTCCATCCTCTCCCGAAATGCCCAGAACAGGACCGCACCAGGTCTCAGCCTGGAGGTACCAAATTGGGCCCCCCGTGCACTGTGGGCCTCTGGGCGTCCTCGTACGCAGCAGAAGATGGGAAGCTGGGGACGGGCACCATCATCGGGGGGCTTTGAGCTGTATTCCTGAGCCCTCGCTCTGGCCAGGCAGCTCTACTGAAGCCCCATGGCCATCTTCTGAGGTGCTTACCATGGCGCTCCCCTTTTACAGACGAGGACATCCAGGACAGGGAGGCTCATCCCTTGTTCCCAATCACACACCATGTAAGCTCAAGCTCAGGCCGCCTCGTTCCAGAATCCCCGCTCCGGACCCCAGGTCCACTGCCAACATGGTTCCCTCTGGCCTCAGGCACCAGCTGGGGAATGGGAAGCCTGGGCTGGCCTTGAGCCCCCTCTCATGCTGGGGGACCCTAGAAAGTTGCTCAACCTCTCTGTCCTTTTGGTCAAAGGATAGATAACCTTTGCCCTCCTGACCCCACCCCACTCCCACTAGCCTTGATCCCTGAAGTTTAGGAAGCAATATGATTTTTCCACCATTGGTTTTGGGAGATGGGGCCTACAGAGATGACCAAGGCCAAGGCAATCAGACTCCCCGAGAGGGTTCCGAAAGTTTCACAGTATCAGTAACGACTGATGCCTCCTGAGAGCTGACTGCCTGCCGGGCAGTTCTTGGCACTTTGCACCTATTTCATTTGCATAATAGCTCCATGGGGTAAGTACACCCTTATCATCTCTGGGAAACTGAGGTTCAGAGAGGCTGAGTAACTTGTCCAAGGTCACACAGCTGATAGTGAATTGACCTTGGGCATTCTGGCCTCGTAGCCCCTGATCTTAGCCACAGAGCGATGTTGCCCCTCTTTATTTAGCCAGGCCACCTCTGAGTTTTCTATTCCAAGGCCTCTGCCTTCAGCTGTATACACAGAGAAGGGTTAAATGCCAGACTCAGAAGTCGAAATACCTAGGATTAAATTCAGTCCTGTAGGGACTTCCCTGGCGGTCCAGTGGTTAAGACTCCGTGCTTCCACTGCAGGGGGGCGCGGGAACTAAGATCCCGCAGGCCGTGCGGTGCGGCCAAAAAAAAAAAAAATTCAGTTCTGTAAGCAACCAGCTCTGTGATTTTCCGTAATTTACTTAACTTCTGTAGTCCTCAATTTCTCCATCTATAAAATGAAGAAATCAAATGAAGAAATGATAAGGAAGGCCTGCTGTTTACTCAGTGTGGTGATAAGGAGGCGGCCGATGGTAAATACCATTTGCTTGGAGGATTGAAATGAACATACCCCAAACTCAGAGGCCATTCTTTGCTCATCAGCATTCCCCTCTCTGGTCCTGGGTAGTGTGCCAACCGGCCAGGAAGAGATCTGCCAGTTCTCAAGCCTGAATCCTACCTGTGCGCAGGTACGGGGAGGCTTTCCACACCCGCTCGGTGCCCGCCCACCCATCGCCTTGTTCGTTCCTCACGTCTGCCCTTCAAGAGATTCTTTTCTCCACTTTACAGGAAGCCGAGGCTCAAAGAAGTGAAGTCACTTGCCCAAGGCCACTTGCCCGTAAGTGGCGGGGCTGGGTCACACCTGGGCTTATTTAGTGCCAAGTGTCAACAGATTGTGACCTTAGGCCACAGTCGCTTCCCTGGACCCCACTAGGTTGCTCTTGGTCACTCATTTTATGTCCTGGGGGAAGTGGCATGAGATTAGGCAAAGGGACAGCTCACTTTACTCTCCCTGACCTGCCCCTGATTCCAGAAGTGTCACTGTGACATCTTCGTTCTATTGGTTTAAAATGTGGTCCCTACACCTCTGGGCACGTCACCATTTACGTTCTCATCTCCATTTGGTTCCCGCACTAGAATTTGGGGGGTGTGGGGTGCTGCTTTTGACAGAAGGGTGAGGAGAGAGAAGTCTTAGGCCCCCGAAGTTGTAAGGAACAGACTGAGAGGCAAAATGAAACCAACAGGGGCTCAAGGTTAACGTCAGAGTCCTCAGGACCTAACTCTGACATTTACAGGGTCTGAGACCTGGTGACATACTGTCCCATCTGTAGTTCGAGTGGTGGGAAAACCAAGGCTTGCTCAAGCCAGCTTTATCGCTGACTCACTGTGTGGCCTGGGCAAGGCCCTGACCCTTTCCTGGTCTCAAGCCGTTTACTGTGAAAGGAGGAAGCCAGAGTAGGTGATGTAACCCCCTGGCAGATGGACTGGGTGGGAGCCAGGGATGTGCTCACCCCAGCTGCAGCTCCACACCAGCCTTGTTACCTTCTTAAGGCCAGCAGCCCTCTCAGCAGAAGGGCACCGCATCCCATCCCCCATGGGAAGTCTCAGTCCATGTTGTTTCACAAAAGCCAGATACCCCTCTAATTAAAAATCCAGCGTTGGTACACAGGGACCTCATTTAGATCCCCCCCTGCCCCGATTTATACAGCTGGTGAGAATGAGGCCCCAGGACACGAAGATGCTTGCCCAAGGCCAAGTGGACAGAAGCAGCCCTGTCAGGACTAGAAGCCACGGCCTCTGGCCCTGAGACCACTCAGAATATTTACTGTCCCCACCCTGCAGAAGCCCAAATCCCTCATGATCTCTGCGCCCTGCAAAGATGGGGAGTTTCCACGAACCATGAAGGACCACAGCAAAATCCAGTGGGGTTGTAGAGGAAATCCAAGGGCGATGGAAATATACAGAACTAATCTTAGCACGATCATAAGCTCTAAAACCACTGGCTAGTTTAAGAAAAATATAAACAAGTATTACGTAATGCGCGGTCTGCTCTATTTGGATAAGTTAGAGGTTTGAAGGCCAGAAAGAAAGGTGGTGGAAAGAAGCCAGTTTTGTGCTTCATCGTGTTGTTTCATTGGAAGGAAACTTTTAAAAGTCCAAGGGATAGATGAAACCCAGCATTCCTTATTTCCAGCTTTTTCCCCTCAGGTTCTCATGTGCCAAGTTCAAGGGCTCCTTTGTCTTTGTATTTTATTAAAATGACGGTTTTAGTTATATGACTGATAGCTAGCAGCAGACGCACCCTTCTCCTCTGCTTGGACCTCCGTTTCTCCATCTGGGAAGAGAGCAGGTTGTACTTAGGAGGTCGCAGCCTAGTGGCCCAAGGCTGGGATCTATATGCAGTAGAGGGAGCTCCGTGGGGCAGAACTGGCCCTGCGTTGCTGCGGGTGACAGTGACTTTGACTGTCACTAGATAGAGTCTGACCTTGCTGGGTCAGCCACAAGCTTTGCCGTTCCCTATTGTCTCCCCCCAGCCATGGAGCTCATCTCCCTCCCAGCTACCCTCGGAAGCCTTCTAGTTTGCACCCCTACCAGCCTCCCCTCGATGTAATCTCTCTCAGATGCCTTCAGTGTAAGGCTCGGTGTCTAGACTTATTTCACTAAGTTCTCCCAACAATCTTACTTTCTACACGTGACACAATGAGGGCCAGAGAGACTAAATGACTCGGCCAAAGTCACACAGCTGGTAGTGACAGAGACCCGGATTAGAACCCAGGTCTGTCTGAACAGAAAAGGGATGCTTTTTCGAATCTTACCCACCTCAGCTCTGCCCCGCCAAACAAACCCCACTTGACTGGAGGAACCAGACCTCTAACACCCACGTCCACGTTGAGCGCAGAGCTGGGACACAGGTGGCGAGCGAGGTAAGCAGCTAAGCTGACTGCAGCCCATTCCCGCGTCTGAGGCCATGGACTCACTCTGAGGGCCGCCCTCTAGCTCAGGAAAATCTACTAGGGGCTGAGGTTCACTGTGAGTATTAAGGGGGTACGGCTTCCCATCTGGGTTCCCTCACAGCTCTCCTGTGTTCTGACTGCGTGTCACTGGGCAAGATCCTTCCCACTCAGGGCAGCAGCCTCTCTGTCCATTAAAAACCAGGGTTCAGCGGAATCCCTCCTAGGGCTGTTCCAGGTCCAATCATCCCTGAGCCCAATCTGGCCCGCTTCCTGGGCGATCATCTACTTCCTGTGCCTCAGTTTCCTCTTTTGC